CTCTCGTTTCCCGTAGAGAAGCACCTGGTGCTGCTGCGGGACGGCCGGACGCTCATCGGGTTCCTGCGCAGCATCGACCAGTTCGGTACGGCCGGGGCTGCGGGCAGTGTGTGCTCCGAGTGTGCTTGTGCTGGGGGTGAAACAGCCGCCGCTCGTGTCCCCCTGCGCTCGGTGCTTCACGGAGCTTTCTCCCACGCCTGGAGCTCCGGCGTCGCTCTTGGAGCAGAAGCAGCCGGGTGATGTTCATCCATCCTCTAATCTGCTCCTTGCCCAGAACTTGCAGCACCAGCATCGCCGTCATCCTCCGAGCTCCGGCGGGCACGGGGGGCTCTGCGCGGGGCTCTGAGCTCCTGGCCGCTGGGAGCTGGGGGTGCTGAGCTGGGGAGTGCCGGTGGCTTCAGCGACCCGGCTCAGAGCAGCCACCGAGGGATGGAGAAACAGCTCTGGGTGGGATGGGGGACGCTGCTCTGCCACAATTCACAGTAGAAAGTCGGTGATTTTCTGTCTCTCTCGTTGCTGCAGCGAACTTGGTGTTGCACCAGACCGTGGAGCGCATCCACGTGGGCAAGAAGTATGGGGACATCCCTCGGGGCATCTTCGTGGTGAGGGGCGAGAATGTGGTGCTGCTGGGGGAAATTGTAAGTGCACAGCTCCCGCTGCAGTCTTGGCCTGAGCTGGGGGTGTTGGTGGTTTGTCTGTCTGCTCTTCTGCTGGGCTGGAGCCGCCTCCAGAGCCGGTTCAGGCTGAACCATCATAGAAACGCCAGCCTGCAGGGCAGGGGTGCCTCCTGTTGCCACAGCCCCTCTGGGATGACTCGAGGGACAAAGAACAATGAGAGGGAGCTGTGGGGAAGCTCCAGCCTGGGTGGCAGGAGTGTCATTGCTGGCTGTCCCTTACCTCCTTGCTGGCTCTGCACCAGGGGACACCATCTGGGATAGCTCAGGAGGAGCTGAGTGCTTTGGGGTCCCCAGGAGCCCCTTCCCAGGGCTGTGCTGGGGATCCCTGCCCAGCTGCTCACCCCTCAGAGCGTTTCCAGTTTTCTGTCACCCCCAGCCTTTGCTGGGGCTCACAGAAGGCGTGTGGCTCACAGGCACCCCGCGCTCCAGGGATGCCGTGCAGAGCTGCAGGGTTGTTTCTCCTGCAGGACCTGGAGAAGGAGAGCGACACACCTCTGCAGCAGGTGTCCATCGAGGAGATCCTGGAGGAGCAGCGGGTGGAGCAGCAGGCCAAGCAGGAGTCAGAGAAGCTGAAGGTGCAGGCGCTGAAGGAGCGGGGCCTGTCGGTGCCGCGGGCGGACACGCTGGATGAGTACTGAGCTGCTGCTCCGTCACCCCCGGGCAGGGACAGGCTTCCATGGAAAGGCAGGTTTTCATTTTCAGATTGTATTTTCCGTGGTGCTGGTAACTGTTCACAAATCATGCCTTTAGTCTCCTTCAGGAGAAGGAGACGAGGAGGGCCCAGCGCACTGGGAGTGCAAGCATTTGTTTTTGGGAGGCAAATCATTGCTCCTTGGGTTTGTTTGCTTTCTCCTCCTCACGTGACTCTGGGTGAGACTTTTCCTTGACATGTAAATAAATCCTTGATCCTGACATCGATGGTTTTCCAGTATTCTGGTCCTGACTATTCCCCCTCTCTCAGGACGAGCACCCCTCAGGCCAGCTCTTGTCCCCTTTGTGCTGTGCAGGGACAGATGGGACCCCTGGCCCAGCCGAGGAGATGCTGGAGCCTGTGGCAAGATCCTGCTCTGGGAGGGGCAGGATCTCCTGGGTACCCCTGTACCCCAACAAAGACTGCCTCTACCCCCCAGCCAGGCTGTACCATTCCCCTGCAGCTGAGCCCGCTCATTACCAGCTGAAGCCACTAATTACCTGCTGATGAAGAGCTGCTGCACCTGGGGCCCTGCAGAGCCTGGACCTCCAGCCCCTCCTCACTCGGTGCTCAGGGGGAGCTGGTACAGCTGGCTCAGGTTGGAGAGTCCTTTGTCCCCGGTGTGTCCCAGCCCTCCTGGAGGTGGAAGAGTCCTTGGCCTTGGGGCTGGCTTTGGGCAGCTGCCAGGCTCCAGGAGCCTCCTGGGTGTGGGCAGGGAAGGGCAAACCTCGGCAGGGACAATCCCTGTGGAACCCCAGGCTGCTCCCCTGAGGGCAGTAGGAGTTCTTTGGGTGAAGAGTCTGTGCTGGGGGAACAGGGGACGAGCCCAGCTCTGCTTGCTGGGGCTGAACAAAACTGTCCTGGAGAGCTGACAGCTGTTGTGGCCAGTGCTGACCCTCTCTCACTGGCCCAGGGACCACTCACTTCAGGGGGAAACATTTCTGCCCCGTTGGACTTGAGTGGATGTTGTGGGTTTGGGGGTAGCAAAGGTGTAAACAAGGAAACGCTATTTTTTGTTCTAACAAAATTTAATAAAAAGCATTTATGGAGCTGACTGCTGTGGCTGGAAAATCTCTGGCAGGAGGGGGATGGCTCTTTGGGGGGGGATTTGCTGTCCCTGGTTGTTTGGGGGGTGTTTTGGGGTGAAGGAGGATCAGGGCAGTGAGATCCTGATCTCACTGAGATCAGGTGAGGTGGGGTCCCAGCCCTGCAGCCCCAGGGTTTTGGGGGCTGTGAAGAGCTGGTGGGGGTCAAGACATGGAGCTCTTCTGGCTGCTTTTGAGCCCATTGTCTTATCACAGTATCGGCTGTGACCGCTGTGGGCACCGGGGGCTGTGGTTTGTCTCTCCAAATACACCAGGGCTGGGGGGACATCCCCAGTGCTGCAGCAGGAGGGACAGGGCCACCCCCAGAGCCCCCTGCTCCAGGCACTGCAGTGGGAAAGGGGCTGGGAGGGGAATGCTCTCGAAGGTGGCTGGGTAGGGTGGGGGACCCGTGGTGGCCCCAGGAACTTTGGGTCCTTCAGGTGCCCTGGTGAGTCTCCAGTGCCTTTGCTTGGCACGGTTTTGGTTTTGCACATTTTGTGCATTTGTGAAGGTTTGTGTGTCAGGTCCTGCTAGGTGGATGCAAATGGGGCCGTGTGGTGACTGTGCAGGAGCCTGGGGGTGCCCAGGGGGTCTGGGGTGTCCCAGTCAGCCAGATCCCCCCTGAAGGTTCTGGGTGCCTTCTGGGGTCTGTATCGTGCTCTGGGGGCTGGTCACCTGCAGCGTTTCCTCAGGTGCTGTGGCAGTGTGGCTGTGTCCCCTCCTGTCCCCTGTCCTGAGGGCACAGATGGGGTCCTGCCCCCCAGCCCGGAGCCAGAGGGGCAGCTCTGCAAGGGTTGTTTTGGCTCTCCTCACAAGCAAGTGCGTGTCCTTGTGCCGAGGCCTTGTGCTGGGAGTGGCTGCTCCATCTGAGATAACAGTCCTGGACTGTTCCCTGCTGTCCCCTCTCTCTCAGGGAGGGGGACTGAGGGCTGGGGGCAGTGCACAGTTCTGGGGTGTCTCTGGTGTCCCCGAGCTCTCAGTGCTCTGCCTGTGCTTGGCCGGACGCTCCTGGCTGGGACTGGGGGATTTCAAACCCCCCTGGGTTTCCCTCCCCGCTGTGTGCAGGGAGGTGGGAGCAGGTGGGTGAAGAACAGAGGTGGGGAGAGCTGTGCCATCACCTGGGAGTCACAGCTGTGGGAGCATGGCTGCAGAGAGGGGTTTTGGGAGGGGATAGTGCAGCTTCTGGCTCCCTGCTGCCCACCCAGCCCCTCAGTCTAACCCCACACGCTGACCTGAGGTGTTCTCTGGCCCACACTGGAGAGTGGCAGCAGAGAGGAACAGCCTGGGGAGCAGCAGGACCATTCTGCATGGCAGGTGGGACTTGAATCATCTCAGGAAAGCTGGGACAGGTGCGGGGAGACAAAGGGCTCCCTGGGCCGGGCTGCTGGCACAGTGAGGGGGTGACCTCCCCCTGGGCCAGCTTGTTGGAATGGGGGAGGAAGGTCAGGCTCCCTGCAGGAGGGTGCAGGGGCTGACGTCAAAGGAAGCAGCTGTAACTCACAGGTTCCTGGGGCTGCTGATCTCCAGGCCGTAATTCATCCCAGAAATGTCATTTCAGCCTTGAGCGTTATCACTGCTCTGCCATGTCCTGGGGCAGATAACGGGGCCTGGGAATAGGGGGGCTGCCCCTCACTTCAGTCCCAGGCTCAGCAGCTCAGTGTGTTTAATATTCAGTGTTCTGTGGGCTCTTCTGGTTCTTGTACACGGTGTTTGCAGGGGCCCAGCCTGGCTCGTTATTCCACAATGATTGTGCTGTGAGATGACGCCATCCATCGTTATCCCTTGTTATCCCTCATTATCCATTGTTGCCCATCAAAGGTTGGACTCGATGACCTTGGAGGTCTTTTCCAGCCGTGTGTTGGCGTGACTGTGAGGATGTTTCCTGTCACAGCGTGTGATCCCTGCCGTGGTGCCCAGGTCTGTGTGCTGTGCGGTCTGTCCTGGCACAGACAGGTCTGTCCCTGGCAGGACAGGGGGCTCTGGGGTCTCTGCCTGCCCCAGCCCCAGGAGCTGCCGTGTCCATCACACTCCCAGCCCCAGGAGCTGCCGTGTCCAGCACGCTCCCAGCCCCAGGAGCTGCCGTGTCCAGCACGCTCCCAGCCCCGTGCCCGGCTGAGCTGAAGATGCGTGGGGAGCCGGGGCTGGCCTTGGCCCGCGGGGCCCAGCCCGGGCTGACGCTCTTATCTCCCGGCTGACGGGGCAGAATCCTTCAGCCCCCGCTACTTAAGGCCGTGCACGGCAGGGCTGGGCCAGAGCAGCGCCGGCACGGACGGACAGACACCGCTGAGGCCACCACTGAGGCCACCACTGAGGCCACCACAGCCGCTGCCCAGCCCACAGCTCCGACCCCACAGGGAGATGCTGCCAGCCACATCCAAGCTCTGCGCTGCCATCTCCTACCACCACCTGCGCAACATGACCGGTGAGCACGGCCAGGACAGCTCCTGTCCGTCTGTCTGGGGCAGGATGGGGTCAGGACAGCTCCTGTCTGTCTGTCTGGGGCAGGATGGGGCCAGGACAGCTCCTGTCTGTCTGTCTGGGGCAGGATGAGGCCAGGACAGCTCCTGTCCGTCTGTCTGGGGTAGGATGGGGCCAGGACAGCTCCTGTCTGTCTGTCTGGGGCAGGATGGGGCCAGGACAGCTCCTGTCCGTCTGTCTGGAGCAGGATGAGGCTGGGACAGCTCCTGTCCGTCTGTCTGGGGCAGGATGAGGCCAGGACAGTTCCTGTCCGTCTGTCTGGGGCAGGATGGGGCCAGGACAGCTCCTGTCCGTCTGTCTGGGGCAGGATGGGGCCAGGACAGCTCCTGTCCGTCTGTCTGGGGCAGGATGGGGCCAGGACAGCTCCTGTCCGTCTGTCTGGGGCAGGATGAGGCCGGGGCTCAGGGATTCTCTCCCTGCGCTCACGGGCAGCACAGAGGGAGTTTGTGACAAAAGTTTATTAGAAAAGCTCCTGTTGAGTCCCAGGCTCCAGAAAGGACCCTCTTTCTCTCTGTACTCCTCAGGGTGGTGGCTGGGACCTCAGGGAAGTTCTCCCCGCTCTGTGACATGTTGGGTTCTGGGATTTACTGTCCCTAAAACCCTTTTTGCTACCAGACCTGTCCCTGGGGCCTGAGGGGCTGGCTCCTGTCCCTGTGAGCAGCTCTGGGTCACCCTCCCTCTGGCTGTGAGGGGTTTGTACCTCTGTGCTCCATTTCCGTGCTCTTTCCTGGGCACCTGCAGGATGCTTCTCAGTATTTTTGCTGCTGAGAGGTTCGGAGCTGGAACCAAACCCAGGATTGCTTAGGCCGACCTGTGCCAGGGCAGAGCGATGGCAAACAGCTGTCCCCTGTGCCTCTAGGGACACCGAGGTGGTGACAAGCAGGGCCTTGTCCATGTTTAAACTGGGGGAAAGCCCACGGCAAGGCCCGGGCAGGGCGGTGCCAGCGGGTGACACTCTCTGCTCTCTCCCCCAGGTCTGAGGAGACAAGCTGCTGTGGCCATCAGCCAGGAGCTGAGCAGGCTGGCCAGCCGCAGCCCGGGACCCGGCACCTGGATCCACCAGGTGCGCAGGAGAAGCTCCTTGCTCAGTGAGTGACACCTCAGGGGTCTGTTCCTTCCTGCTGGAAACCGTCACGGGCTGGGGCTCCAGAGAGCAGCTGGGGAAAAACCTGCTTGAGGGTGGGCTGTGCTTCTGCTGAACCAAAGGCAGAGGGAACTGGGTTTAATCCCCATCCCCTGGGCACAGAGAAGGGAATTTGGTGTAGATAAAGCTCATCTGGCACTCGATTCTGTCCTTGCACTTAGCCCTGCCTTTGTCTGCTGCTGGCAGGCTCGAGGCTGGAGGAGAAACCCTTCAGCGAGATGGAAATGTCTTACATCAAGCAAGGGGAGGAAGCGCTGCAGAAATCGCTCAGAATCCTTGAGGACCAGGACGACTGGAAGACGGAGACGGTGGCGGTGGGTGCTCTGCCCTGCAGTCCTGCCTTGCAGCCCTCCTCCCGTGAGTGGCTCCGGTGCTCACTGTGCCATCCCCTCCCCAGGGCAATGGAGATAAAGTGCTGAGCAAGGTGCTGCCGGATGTGGGGAAGGTGTTCCGGCTGGAGGTGGTGGTGGACCAGCCCCTGGACACTGTGTATGGAGAGCTGGTGGACAACATGGAGCAGATGGGAGACTGGAACCCCAACGTCAAAGAAGTCAGGGTAGGAAATGTGTGTCAGACCTGTCACACTCAGCCTGTGTTTGGTTTCCTGCTGCAGATGTAGAGGAGTTTGTGTGGTATCTGTGTCGCTGCTGCAGCAGAGGCGAGTCTGGAGCAGTTTCTGTGTGACTAATTCTGCAGGAAAGGCACTTTCCTGCAAGAAGCAGCCAGTTCTGCTGTAAATTGGGGCAGATCTAGGGAAGAAATAGCCCCAAGGCACAAGGAATGAGAGAAGCCGTAAGGGAATAGCTTTTCACCCAGGAATTGAAAACAGTTCTGCACCTGGGGCGAGCAAGTATTTGGAATTATTGTCACTGTAAACACCAAGTCTTTGTCAGACCCTGTATGAACACCTGGTAACCAAAGGCAGCTTTTATCTGTGCTTGCAGCAAACACTTGAAATGAAAGTTTAATTCTAAACTGCAGATTCTGGAGAAGATTGGGAAGGACACGGTGATCACCCATGAGAAGGCGGCCGCGACCCCTGGGAACATCGTTGGGCCTCGGGACTTCGTGAGCGTCCGGTGCTCCAAGAGACGCGGCTCCACTTGTGTCCTGGCTGGGATGTCCACGACCTACGGGGCCATGCCCGAGCAGGAGGGGTTCATAAGGTACCACAGTCCAGTTCTGTGTGTGCAGGGAGGGAGATTCCCACAGGGCAGAAGGATTTTGCTATGGGCCCGCAGTCGCTGGGTTTCTATGGGCAGCAGGAGCTGCTGCTGGAACCCCAAAGTGCAGTTCTGGGGCTGAAAAGTCCAGGTTTGGGTCTGAGCCGAGCCTCTCCCCCACCAGGGCTGAGAATGGTCCCACCTGCATGGTCCTGCGGCCACTGCCCGGCAGCCCCTCCCAGACCAGGCTCACCTGGCTGCTGAGCATCGACCTCAAGGTACCGGGGGCTGGGGGGAGTTGGGGGGAGCCAGGAGCCGGGGGAGCTGGGTGCT